TCTCTCTCTCTCTCTCTCTCTCTCTCTCTCTCTCTCTCTCTCTCTCTCTCTCTCTCTCTCTCTCTTTTTCTCTCTCTCCCTCTGTCTCTCTCTCTCTCGCGCGTGCGCGCGTACGTGTGGGAAGAGTTGCGCATGAGCGCACACACACACACGCACACACACACATACTCACACTCAATCAATCAATCAATTAAATCAGATCAATCAATCAATCAATCAATCAATCAATCAATCAATCAATCAAACGTTTTTTTGTTTATTTGTTTTCAAATTTTGCATCGGCATTTTTTTTAAACACCTCACTTCCCTGCAAAAAACATAAATTCATTTCAAAAAAAAATATAGGTCAACTCAGAGACCTTATATCTCATGATAAGAAACGACAAAAAAAAAAATTTGCTTTTATATATATATATATTTAATTTATTTAAATCGATTTAGTTTTTGATTTTTTAGAAATCGTAAACAAAATCAGCTTCCAAAAAAAAAAAATATTGGAGTGTAGGGTTTTCCAACCCCTACACCCCCATATATGTATATATATATATAGCTAAGGGCCCGCGGTGCGGGTTATAGCCGCAAAAATAAGAAATGTTGTAGGGAACCTAACACAAACCACTCACATAAACTGAAACAGACTTAAGAAATTTTTTTTGAATCAAAGGGTAATAAAGAATAGCCCAAAAATGGCTACGAAGTCTGAGTTTAACTTACGAAAAAAAAAAATGATAAATTAAAAAATTAATTTAAATCATAAAAAGAAAGTAGGAGGAAGGTCGAGGAGAGACAGAGACAGACAAAAAGAAATAGAAAGAAAAGGAAAGATAGAGATGTACAGAGAGAGAGAGAGAGAGAGAGAGAGAGAGAGAGAGAGAGAGAGAGAGAGAGAGAGAGAGAAAGCAACAAAAAAACAAAGAATAAAGAAACACCAACACCAGTATATAAAGAGAAGAAGTTTAATATGAGGATTTATCGTTTCATTGAAGTTAACAAGTGTTCACAATATGATCAAGGCACAATTATTGCGTAATGGAATCCACCTTGACGTAAAAAAACGCAATAATATCAAATCAAAATTATTATTATTTATTTTTTTTCCTCTCTCTCTCTCTCTCTCTCTCTCTCTCTCTCTCTCTCTCTTCCACGGCCCCCTATTTGTTTCTCTCTCTCTTCCTATCTCTTTTGTCAGGGCAATTACTTAATCAAAACCAAAACTGACCATAAAAAAATATGTCATTAAGGCAACGCCCGGAAGACCGCCCAATCAACATCTCTCACTTCCTATCTCTCTTATAAGACCAATAAACTTCCTTCACTGGAACGATACTCTTGCAGCACCTCACGAATAGAAACTTTTTACAACATTTTGCGACGATACTCCTCAAAAGTTATGAATCGACGCTGTCTTTGCCGATTGTAATCGAGATGAATTGCAGCATCCACACATCTCCAAGTGTTCATATGCTCGTATTCAATTTCGCTGTTGCTTCCACAATATCTTGCACCCTGTAAGAACTGTCAAGATACGACAGGTGTGCAAGTGTCTTTTTGGGACCAATAGATTCAAGAGAGTCATAGACGACAATGTTAAAATTAGAAGGACTTGGTTGTTCCAAGGGTCCTGTATGGACATGAAGATGGTCTGTTGATGTCGTAATAGCGGGCACAACACAACTGACAGGAGACGGAGTAGCTGCAGCGGCCGGCAAAGCAGAAACAACAACAGAAGTAGTGACAATCTGCGTTGACATATTGGATGGTGGAGCATAATCCGCAAGACGTTGGAAATTTGGAGGAGATGCTTCTTGAAGGGGGAGTCTACGGACAGGAGCACAATGAGGAGTGGAAGAAGCAACCACATGAGGAATCCTTTTGAGACGCTGTTGTATCCGTGCATATCTGTGAAAGGGTTGGGGAATGGGCCCTTCTGTCGGACAATGTGGCAAATCAAATGTCATCCTAGTAATCTCCTCATTAGAGAGAGCAATACACTCATCACTCAAAAGTGAATTCAACATGGAAGAAGCCTCCAAATCCGGAACATTCAACGGGTTTGATGGAAGAGCCTCAGGGGATTTTCGTTCCAACCGCATATTAGTGAGTTTGTTTCTTTTCCACTCGAGGAAGTTTTCCCATATTCGTCTTGCTTTTACGACTGTGGCAGTTTTGACAAACATTTCAAAAAACACCTCAATCAAGACATTTTGTATGCCAACCTTCTTCGCATCCTCGAACCATTTTCAAAGGTAAACGCGCGTATTCGGAGCACGGATTGCGGGTTTATCCTTATCGTGGGGCACCACAATAACACCCGCGGGATTCTGCGGTTGCGATGTGGCACAAACATCTCTTTCACGTCCACTGCGTTGAGATTGCGAACACGAATCACGAACACGTGCACGTCCAGCGAGTGGTGCACAAAATTCAAGAGATGCAAGTGCTTCAGTAGGGAGATCATTTAACGCTCTTAAATCTGAGTCCCCGTTTCACTAGCAACCAGTTATCGTTCCACCTGATTATTACAGAGCGTAGGCTCGAGCACTCCGGGCGAATCAAAAACATTAGTTTTCGCACAACGACTCTTTTTTCTCACGAACGTAGATTCAACCAAGTCTCCTTTCGAATCACCTGTAACGTTACCATCCTCGATATCGCGAAACGTAAGGTTAATAGGCCTACCCGACTGACCTCATCGCGAACCATCCCTATCAACACGACAATTGTCACCATCCCGCTCCACAACCAAGGGTATTATCTTGAGAACGTTCACGTTGAACCTCACGCAAAACAGGATAATCATCCCGAGGATGTTCACTTCCAAGATTCACCGACCTCTCATCATTCTCACTTTTCTTCGACCTCTCCGAATGTTCGACTCTAGCTTTCGATGTAATATTCGTATCATACTGAATGGTATTGTTGGTTCCCATTGCTTTCCTTTTAGAAGGAGTGTCGTACTTACGTGGAATTCGGGAGTCGCCTGCAAATAAAGAATATGACCGAATTATTTGGAATGTCAAGGGTCGATGAAAAAAAAAAAAAGGACTCATCCCAAAAGTTCATGATATACAATATTCTTCGTAAAAAATTTCTTATCAGGCAACTCAACACGGACGTTGTTGGGATGGTCAACACGTGACAAAGCAACGTACAGTTGGCCATGAGAAAAAAATGGTTTGCGTAGCCAAACACCAGCACGTGATACCGTTTGTCCTTGCGACTTGTTAATCGTTACAACAAAAACAAGACGGACCGTAAATTGCCTCCTTCACCATTTGAACCTAGTAGTCTCACCATCGCTTGTCGAATCAATCTTGGGGATTAGTGTTGTTTTACCCGTGTGCATTATTGTCACTTCTAACAAATCGTCATTAACGATCTTTTTCAGAATCAGCCTTGTGCCATTGCAAAGTCCTTGCTTCGATGACAAATCTCGCAAAAGCATCTTAGATGCACAAATTTTTAAGCGCAGCTTGTGAGGTGGAAGCCCAGATTCATTTAGAGAGTTTAAGAATTCCCGCTCAATACCAAGCCCGGTATCATCTGAATAAGGATAATTAACACCGAAAAGTTCATGCATCTCCCTAGGAAAGTCGTCAAGAACACGGTTGTTAACAGAACCAGCATCGTCATAAGTAGGGCATAGAATTAATCGAGGCAATAAATACTCGGCATCGCCTTCATGGTTGGACACATCATCAAACGTCCATGAAATCAATTCATCAATTGGTTTATCCGTACAAATCTCACGTGACAATCTGACCGCAGCAGGTTCATTAGGAATAATGCGAGGATAGTCATCATTTCCAATACGCATAAAAAAGTGGCCATACATTTCTGTCATTTCGTCATCCCCTAAGCTTAAGATTCGCATATTTTCAGTCAGTTGATGAATCTCAAAAAGATTTCACAAAGCAGACATTTTCATGAACGCATCGATTTGTTGCGCTCGCGATCCATGTTTCACAGCGGGTTAAACCTGTATAAAATCCCCAGCGAGAAGTAAAACTTTCCCACCAAACGACTCGTCATTGTTAGAGAGGTCCCGAAGCGTACTGTCTAGAGCTTCCAAATGAAACTTGTTACTCATCGGAGCCTCGTCCCAAACAATCAAGTCGTCACGGCGGATAAGTTCCGCAAGATCACTTTGTTTCGCAATCAAGAAGGGACGCGTGTTATCAGGTTTCAAAGATGCGTGAAATCGAGAGTGAAACGTTCGACCCCCCGTTAAAAGTGTCGTCGCTATGCCACTCGACGAGACGGCCAGTGCAATGACAGAACGAGACCTGATGCCCGTCAAAATTGTTTCAATGCAAAAAATATTTCTTGTTCCAGCAAGTGCATCGACAAAAACATGCAACGGTTTTTTCTCTTGCACAGCCTGAACGACTCTTTCCACCAACACTCGTTGACGTGGACGAAGATGTCGGAAACTAGAATCGTATTTGCGTTGCATTTCAATCGGATCATACGATAACTCGTCGTTTAGAATCGAGGATACAGTTTTGTTATCGTAATATCTGGTTATGTTCTCAGCAATTGTTTCCCCGTCAGGTGTTGAATAATAAAGGCAGAATTGACGGATGTTTTTTTCAGACTCCTGTAAAATACGGTCAAGATTAAATAACACTAAGGATTGCAAAATGGTCGGGGGAACAATTTCGTTGGCCGCACGATATTGAAAATCATCACACATTTTATCCCAATATCGTTCAAAGAAACGGACCGGATCGTTTACAGGACCAAACGCAAGAACCATAGCAAATATTTTACGAACTTCTTCAGGCATGTAATGTGCCGCGGCTGTGTTGATGCATTGATCGTATGCATCGTCTATTTGCAAAAGGCCTAATCGAACACACACGGATTTGAAAGAATCGTATTCAACTCTGTCCACCGTACGGATTTCGGCAAAAGAGCGCACCCTACGAGAATGTTCATGGTTTAACAACCCGCACAGATAGAATCGTTCTACTTCGGTGATCCTCACGTGATGCAGCCAAGATATATTTTCGAAGGGACCACCGTGGAGATCACGCTTTCTTCGGTTCCACTTCTTATGTTTGTTATCCTATACATGAGTATTAATGATTTCTGCGTAAAGAGGAAGTTCCTCTTTAGGAACACCTTCATTCAAAGAGTTGTGTTTCATCCATGCCGTCAATTTCGTTTTCAGGGGTTCATGCGAAACAACCTCATGCTCAGTGTCAGGTTCGAATTGCACTTTTTGCATATTTTGGAGATGCACGGGCGATCTTTCCACCGCGGGTTATTGTTCCGCAACGTCAAACTCAAATAGACGCTAGCATGCTTCGCATGCACCTACAATTCAACTTCGTCGATGGGCGCATTATTATCCTGCTCGCAAACCCACCGTCACTTGGTTTCCTTCTCCTATACGAAGGGTATGTTTGCTTGTCTTTGAATGTTTTTGTGGAAATGAAGTCTTTCAGAAACCGTTTTGTGCATTCTCCGTCCTTCGTACTCGAAGCGTCCCGTTTCTCCGCACCACAAATCCCGTGCAACATGAACTTGGCTACCCTTTTTCTCAATTCCCCTTCCAGAGGAATTTCGACACACACCACATCTCAACAACATCCGCATCCCGAATTTTATCATCCGGATGCAAAATAACCAATATATGTGCATGTGGTAGACCCCTTTTTTGAAACTCCACCACATACAACATTTCACTCACCATACCAAAGATCCGTTTGTTCTTTATCTCATCAATCAGTTGTGCAAGATAACCCTTGAACGCTCGTGCGAGAAGATCCAGCCTGTCGTTAGGACATTAACCTGGCAACACGGCTTGTTTGATCTCCGATCAATTTGTGTTGCACGTCATAGTGATAAAGAAATTCGGTTTTCCAAATCGTCTCACAATTACCATTCTGTCGTGATATTTTTCACTCATATATCGAAGCCCCCAGTAAATGTTGACGGCAGAACCACTTTTATCCCAATACCGTCACCACGTTGATTTTGTTGCACAGCGTCGCGTAAATCCTGATAATACTCCGAGCGCAATTTCTTTTGGTGGAATCTCACTCATTTTAAGCGGAGGGATTGAACTTTAGCATACATCATGCAACAAAACTCATGAAAGAGACGTGCTGCATAAAGGAGGCAAGGCCTTTCGCCTTCGCGCTCGTGAAGGTGAAATGCATAGTACTCCTTGGCACTAAGTCCTGACGGTCATCCATCCTCCGAGGCACGTCGGACAGACCAACTATCAATTCGCTCCGGGAAAAGTAAAACAAACATTAAGCAATTGTGAGCTCGAGAACATTCTGGAACCACAACTGTCAGCCTCTCACAAGGAAGAGGAACATGCAAACGAATATCCAACTCACGAGGAAAGAGTTCATCGGCCATCACAACACACAGCTCATGTAGACCCTTAGAACGGTTATAATGCCTTGCATGTTCCTCCTCAAGCATGACATCCGAATTTATAACCAACTTCCTCTAATTCAAGGTTTTATGTGGAAGGTCAGCAAGCGTCATAAAGTCCTTCACGTAATTGTTACATTGTTGTAGCAATTCGTGCAACCTTCTCAACATTCGTTTCACTCGATCAAGTTCGACATCAGGTGTACGTGCAGGTAAGTTAAGAAAATTCACTCTTTGATCAATCGCATCGTCCAAACGTTGAGGATCGTGCAAGTATAGTTGCGCAAATTGAGGGCGTTCTCCTTCCCCGACAACCAATGCACCGATACGATGAAAGATTGGACCTTGAGTGCGAAGTTGGCCCTGAAATCCTTGAATACCATCGCTCGGCTGCTTCAACCGCGAGGATGCGAGGGATAAACTACTATTAAGTATCCTCGCATTGTTTCGGCGGAATCGGCCGTCGGAACTTTGAGATGTCCAAAGAGAAAAAATATCATGCTCCGGCGCTTCGCAAGGCCATTCCTGTAATGGACAATATTTTGTACCTTTTCGGCAACACATCTTCGTCCATTTTGTTTCATGATGCCACAATTTAGCACCACAATACTTACATGGATCTCGACTGCCAATACCGAACGGTTCAACAGTCCTACCATTCGCAAAAATCGCTACAGTGTTCTCAACCGCTGCATACGTTGTTGTCAGAGATGCCGATAACAGTGCATTAAGATCAGGAGCCGGAACATCATGCAAATCATTTATTTCTTCATCTCGACTATTTGGTTCACTGTCTTCATAATTGTTCATTGGATTTGGATTTCTCACGCACGGACTTTGCGATTGCCTTGCTCGCGATAACAAACTCCACGAGTGTCTCGCCCGAGAAGATTGACTCCATGATTGTCTCACAGGAGAAGATGCACTCCTCGAGGCGCTGACTAGAGTCTATCGAAGGATATTCACAGCGAACAAACTTCCCCTCACACCCCGTACAAAATTTTTATTAGCACGTACATCTTCTTTCCTCCTATGATTCTTAAGCGCAACTCTCAATGCACGCATATGTTTAACATGAACGTTTGGTCGATTTCCCTGCATTTTCCTTCGTTTTGAAATTATACGCGACGTAGGCTATGGTTCGTCAACATTCATTCTATCGACTTGTTCCATTCGTTCACCAGCCTGTACAGTACTTTCAACAACCATTGAACTTGCACCATAGCCCGATGACACATAGTGAGGCATCGACGACAACGATCCAACTTCCAAACGAATCACGACTTTATTTCTACGGAGCTGTCGAATTAATAACATACGGTACCGTCGGTTGCACCTTGAACGAATCGGTTTCCATAATAATAATATTTTTCGTCGATTATGAACTTCAACAAACTTTCTAATCAACATGTTCGACGAATTCGGCGGGGTTTTGGCAGCAGAAGATGGATTTGCATGAACATCCGTTAAGGGAGGACAAACAATACTCTCCATAAATTTTTGTGGGACATCGGCAGTCAGTGTGGATGATGAACAATTGTGCACATGTGCCGAGTTCGAGGGAAAATTATCAAGTAAAACGGATCTTTCGATAATCAAAACGGAATCTGTATTTATTGCAACATCCGTACGAATTTCAAGTGGACGTTCACTTTGCAAGGCCATAGAGAGATTTCTAGGACAAGTAATGCGATCTGTACCAACATTATTATCTCCTCGACTCATTCTATTGAAAAACACGGGGCTTGTAAAATCATTCATCGATAGAATTGATTGTCGAAAAGATAGAGACTTATCACTACATTGTTCTTCATTAGAACAATCAAGAGTATAATCTTGACTTACCACCGGATGTTTATCTCTACTGCGCAGTTGACTCATTTACAACACCTACCGCCTGTAATAAAGACCTCCGGGTTCAACAACTTTGGGAAAGTGGTTGTCTGCGTTTGTTGTATTCGTGTTGTGATTGCATTGCCGTGTCACTCGTAGAGTGACAGGGAGTAATGTCCGAACCTATACACAATCCCAATCCATGGTTGGATGAGGAAGAAGGGCCCTTGAATGGAGACAAACCGACTTGACTTGGAACAATGGAAGGACACCGAGCACATTCTGATATTATCTGCGAGGACACCAAAAGATTATTAACAACCCTTTCAAAAGGCCGATGGCGTTTGCGACGCTTCCACGGAACATGCAAGGACCTATACGAAGGTGAAGAGAAGGTCGGAATGGTGGATAGATTACTATTGGGTGAAGTGTCACAAGGGTTTTGGTCCTCTGCCAAATTAATGGGCACGTAGGTACGTATTTGTACATGGGCATGTCACGGTGGATAGGAGGAGTAAGATGCATACAGACAACCGGAACGAAAATAATACAACTCAAAACATCCATACATAGATGTCATTGTATGAAGCAGAGTAATATAGTGTCATGTAGAAAAGAGAAAAAAAAAAAAAAAAACTTTTATCTTAATTACTTCTTATTTACAATTTGAATAAATTGAATTTCACTCAAATAAGTATGGCTAAAAGTAAAGATACACGAATCACGATTATTTTAGAGTGCAATATTTGTAGTAATAATAAAAAAACAAAWTTTTCAAAATCTTCAAGATATACAGAAGACATAGTGCAACACAAAGAACGCAGCAAAAATGCAAAGCTTAGACGATAAAAAAAAGAAGGAGTCAGTTCGTTTTGTTTTTTTTTCAACGCGTCTATCGAGGTTAATCAATGTTAACTCATATCGCAATTTATTCGTACAGGAGCACTTTCATGTTCACGTGCACTTTCATGTTCTTGCAAATGTTTGATCGGGACCGGAACTTCTTTGAACTTCTATTGAGGTTAATTAACATGCCTCCTACTTTTTTCGTATGCCTCATTCGTTTCTTATGTTCGATTTATGATCCTATACGCCCCTTAGTCTTTTCAGGGCCCCATGCAATAGAGTCATACGTACCTCGTCTATCCACGTTTGTCCTTTGTCATTCTCCAGCAGGGCTCACTTTCCGGTTCGGATAAATTTGTCACTGGGATCGGAACTTCATTTGGCTCCAATCCACCGTAATCGAGGCGGCTCCTACTTCCGGCCAGCCTTAGGTATCCTTACTCAGTCATCCGTCCACAAAAGATTTCAAAAAGGTAACATGTCTTCACCAACCTTTCCGAGGCCCGATCGCTAGGAAGTGGTCTGTAGTACCCATTCTCCTCGCCTGAGCACGAGGCCCAGATCTCCGAAGTAGGCGTTCGCTCCACTGCAACAACATTGCACCACCCCCATAAATGGGTCTATGCGGCATACCGCACCTCCCCCCAGCCAACCTCGAAGGTCGTGGATCCAGGAAGAGTCATTCCTAGCGATCGAGGTCGGGCAAACCATTGATGGTCTCACTTTCTTCTCCTCTTTTTCTTAGACGACTTTGATGAAATAGGAGCAAAGGGGGTAGAGAACATGAGTTTTTGGAACAAGTCTAGGCGAGAGGAGGTCATTCGGGATAGCATGGGTGCCTTGGGAAAAGACTACGTTCATTGCAATTTTTATTCCTTCTTATCGGATTGGTTCCTTCTCCACTATTCATTCGAAATACATGGTGTGACCCAACCCGACCAATAACACTTGATTTGCTTCACGTAAGTGTTTGAGTATTTTCAGCGGCCCATGTAGACCAATCATACGTACCTTGATTATTCTTGAGCATCCTTTGCTTTCCTTCAATAACGTTTACTGGAAGACGACTTAAGTTTATTGTTGTTTTTTAATCTTACTATCGAGACTCTTCCTTTCTAATTATTCATAAAATTCAAATTATAATATCACAGAATATTTAAGCCTACATTTCTTTTTTCCAAACTTCTTACTCATCTCAATAGTTTTTGAACATTATTTCATGTCTATATTTCAAGGGATACTCACCTGATTGTTTTTTAAGAATAAGCAGAACAGTATAAGAACGAGCACACAAAACCATACAATATTGACAAACAAAATTTAACACATGTTAGCAACTAAGCATTAATATCATTTTCATTACTATAAACACGTACAACACGAGATCACATACGAATAAACCACTAAGGTGACTTTTATTTGTATATATCAACAATATTTGCTTCCCATTCCATGAATAGTTCTCAA